CATCTATATCTAGTTGTACCCAGAGTAGGCATCGAGAAAACTGAGAGTCTCGTGGCCGGCTGTGACATCGATCATACGATCGATGCTAGGCAAAGGAAAGGAATCCTTAGGGCATGCCTTGTTCAAGTCTTTATAATCTATACACATTCTAAGTTTGTTCCCTTTCTTAGGGACTACCACCACATTTGCTAGCCATTCGGGGTATTTTACTTCTCGAATGGATCCTATTTTAAGAAGTTTGGTTACCTCGTCCTTGATGAAGACATGTTTGACCTCGGACTGAGGTCTTCTTTTTTGCTTTACCGGATGGAATTTTGGATCCAAGCTTAGTCTATGAGTGGCTATTTCCGGTGGGATCCCTGTTATGTCAAGATGGGACCAAGCGAAACAGTTCATGTTAGCTATAAGAAATTGAATAAGCTTTTTCCTGAGCTCGGGATCTAACCCCGTGCCCAGGTATACCTTTCGTTCGGGCAGATGTTTGATTAGCGTGATTTGCTCCAGTTCTTCGACTGTTGACTGGGTAGCATCAGAATTATTGGGGACCACAAAGGATTTAGGGATCCCATAGTCATCGTCTTCGTCAGTTTTTCGATTCTCTAATTGGGTCGAGGCTGACGTTTGCGATTGCTATTTGGTGTCCTGTTCCTCCCTCGAATCTGATCCCTTTATCGATGATAGTGAGGATATCGGAATCACTTCATAGACGACAAACATTTCTTTTGCGGCTGGTTGCTTCCCATAGAACATTTTGATTCCCTCCGATGTTGGGAATTTCAGAACCTGGTGAAGGGTCGAGGGCACTGCTCTCATGTTGTGGATCCATGGCCTCCCGAATAGGGCGTTATATCTCATATCTCCCTCGATTATATGAAACTTCATTTCCTAGACAGTCCCGGCCACATTTACTAGCAAGATTATCTCGCCCTTAGTAGTTTCACATGCCATATTAAATTCGTTCAGTACCAAGGTAGCGGGTACGACCTGGTCCTGTAGACCGAGTTGCTCTACGACCCTTGATCGGATGATGTTGGCCGAACTACCTCGATCAATTAACATACGTTTAACTTGAGTTTTATTCATAAGTACAGATATTAACAGTGCATCGTTATGGGGTTGAATGATTCCTTCCGCATCTTCGTTATGAAAGGATAAGGTTCCTTTAGGTGTGTAATCTTGAGTCCAAGATCGTTTTTCTCTTACAATAGACATCTTAGTGCGTTTAAGCATCGGTATCTGGGGGACGTCGATCCCTCTGATGATTATGTGGATGATGTGTTGTGGCTCTTCTTGTTCGTTTTGCCTATTGAAATCTTTGTTTTTGAAATGGTTTTTAGCCTGGTCACTTAAAAATTCTCGAAGGTGCCCTTCATTGAATAAACGGGCTACCTCCTCTCTCAATTGCCTGCAGTCTTCGGTTCTGTGGCCATAAGTGCCATGATATTTGCATGTTTGAATGGGATTCCTTTGGGCTGGATCAGACTGCAGAGGTCGAGGCCACTTAGTATATTTGATACGTCCGATAGATGACACCATGGCAGATGCATCGATGTTGAAGTTATATTCTGATAATCGTGGTGCTTCCTTAGGTCTGATATGCCTGTCGAACCAATTCTTGTTCATTACCCCCCAAGACCCTTGGCCTCGATCACTTCTCCTTTCGTCTCATACGGAGTTGCGTGTAGGTTCGCTACCCCTACGATCTCTGTTATACGGCCGATATCGGTCCTTATTCGACCTTGGTTCTCGGTCAACGTCCTTTTTAATAGAGAACCTAGAACCCAACTGATCATCTTCAACCCTGATCTTCTATTGATATCGAATGTGCACATCGTCCCAGGTAACAGCCGGGTACTCGACCAAATTCTGCTTCAACTATCGTGAAGCCATCGAGTTTCGTTCGTTCAGTCCTTGAGTGAAAGCTTGTACAGCCCAATCATTTGTGACTAGTGGTAGATCCATTCGTTCCGTTTGAAAACGAGATACGAACTCTCTTAGCATCTCGTTATCCTTTTGCTTTACCTTGAAAAGGTCCGACTTCCTGGTCTCGACCTTTTAGGCTCCGGCGTGTGCTTTTATGAAAGAATCTGCAAACATAGCAAAAGAATCGATAGAGTTAGGCGGTGATTTATGATACCATATCATTGCCCCTTTTTACAGGGTTTCCCCAAACTTCTTCAATAGTATGGATTCGATCTCGTCGTCTTCTAGATCATTCCCTTTAATGGCACAAGTGTAAGAAGTGACATATTCATTGGGGTCGGTCATTCCATTATATTTAGGAATTTAGGGCATGCGAAACTTCTTAGGGATCGGTTTAGGAGCCGCCCTCGGGGGGAAAGGCTTTTGTATGAATTTTTTGGAATCTAAGCCCTTCAATACTGGTGGTGCCCCCGGGATCTGATCAACCCTGGAGCTATACATTTCTACTTTTTTGTCGTTTGCTTCAATCCTCTTTTCTCCTGACTCAATTGGTCTTGTCAGTTCCTCTAACATCTTGATAATTTTGGGACTAGTCCCCGATTTTTGTTCATTTGATCTTACTAAGGTTGGCCCCGTTTCGTGGGTGATTTCTCGGGATGGACCAAGCTCGGCCTTGCTCGGTGCCTGGGTTTGGCTCTGCAACTGAGCTATTGCTACCTTTGAGCTTGCAACATTTTGAAAATCATACACAGGATGATCCCATCTTCTCCAATATTTTGGATGTTTCGAACTGCAGGTCGAGTTCCACCATGGATGATGTTTTCGGGGTCGGAACGTTGGTTCGCCTCGATGGCCACATGTGAATTGACATCGATTGGATCGGCGGCCCGAGTTCCAACGGGATCGACGAGTGGCCTTTCATCCCCGGTTGTCAGGTTGTTGTTCTCATCTTGAAGGTCAGCTTCGTTGTCAATAGATAGGGCCATTGATTGAGAGTTCGTTGTTTTTAACCTTAAATCAAAGACACTTCCAAGAGCAAGTGTAAAATTATGTGTTTTGCAGAGATTCGTACCAAATAACCACTATTATCCTTAGCTCCACGGTGGGCGCCAAACTGTTTACCCGAAAAACGGATAGAATTAAACTTATACGTAGTTCTATAGATACGTGGTATAACTTGGTACAAATCGAAAAAATAAGTATAAATATATCTAATATTGATTGTAAAAAAGGAATGAAATACAAACCAAATTGAGTAGAGAATAATTTATGAACAAACAAGATGAATCAATGTCCAAAACCCAAAAAAGGATAATCTCTACTATACTTCTCTTTAAATATCAATAATCTTTGAAATGTGAGAGTGTATTGATGTCTCAATGTTCAATGTCCTTTACGGAAATGATAGCCACCCCTCATATAGTGGAGCGATCCTACTTTGGATATAATTAAAAATACATAGTGGGATCCAATGATAGATTAGTTAATTAGTTTCTTCTTAATTCCCGCCGAGATTCTCTCCCCCAGTGCGGCTACAACAGTTGTTTGTCTCTTAGCTCGATCTTGGTCGGTCTTGCATTTTGAGCTCGATGTTGACTCGAGCTCCATATAGGTTCGAGTTCGATATTGACTCGAGCTTGGTATTGATCGGTCTTTGGCTCTTGAGCTCGATAACATTACTTCACATCATAGCTCGATATTGACTCTAGCTTGATATCGCCTCGAGCTTGGTATTGGTCGGTCTCTAGGTCTCCGGGTCTTGACCTCTATCTGGGCTCGATATAAACCTTGGTTGTTCCCGACCTTGGTCGGTTTCTAGGGCTAGAACTCAGCAGCCCGACTTCACATCACAACTCGATATTATAATAACGAACCTCTGTCCACCATGCCCCAAACTTGAATAGTCACACGAGGAAAAACTCGGTTTTGATCGTATACAATGCTAAAACCACGTTTTTAAAAGAAAAACATTCACTAGAGGACTAGTTCTTCAACTTGTTGCTAAAGGAATTCATGTTAATGGTGTAGCTCCTGGGACAACGTGAACTCCAGTGCAAGTGGCAACCTTGCCGGAGGAAAAAGTTTCAAGGAAAATATTTTGTTGAAAAATAAGTGGTTTTATCACTTATTTTTCCTTGTTTGGTTGATGAGTAATAATTATTTTCGGAAAATAGTTATAGTGTTTGGTTAGAGAGTAGAAAATATTTTTAGGAAAATAATTTTTTATGCTACTCTCTTCACCCCCTTCCCCAAATTCTCATGTTTTCTGTGCTCTAGCCCCCTACCCCC